AGGAGGAGGAGGAGGAGGAGGAGGAGGAGGAGGAGGAGGAGGGCAGCTAGTCCCGATTCAATCCTCGTTTTGGTACAAGTGTATGTAAACAAGAGAGTGAAGCTTAAGGCTTAGAAAGAACACCCATCGTGACATTCCCATCTCACATCAAGACGTCCACGTCTCCTTCGTGGTCCTCTTCGGTCACTTTTAACGACAAGACCTCTTCGTTCAGGAACAAGCCGCTCAGCCTTTCCTTCCGCGCCTGACGCTGCTCTTTCAGCTGCCTCTTGCGCAGAGCCTTCTGCTGAAGCTTCCGCTGCTTGGAGCGTTTCTGTCAAAACAGGAGGGGGGGGGGAGAAGTCCCACTCAGTTTTTCACTTTTAAGATCAGATGAGAGCTTTCTATTGCCCCCCCCCCTTTTTTTTTCTGTGAACGCCCTGGCATATTTTAAAAAATTAAATCTTGAAGCCCGCTCTCAATACGTGTGTATGTGTTTGTGTTTGTATGTCTTGTTCAGTAAACAGTTAACTTAGTAACCTGGTTGTTAAGTGAATCTGGTTTCCCCATTGACTTTGCTTGCCAGAAGATAGCAAAAGGGAATCGTGTGACTCCAGGAACAGTGCAACTTCATAAATGTGAGCCAGCTGCCAAGCATCTGAATTTTGATCACATTACCACGGGGAGGCTGCAAAGGTCGTAACTATGAAAAACGGCCATCGGTCACATTTTTCAGTGACATAACTTTGAATGATCACTAAATGAACTGTTGGAAGTTAAGGACTTCACATATGTGTCTGTATATATGAGATAGATAGATAGATGGACGGACAGACACACATACACATATAAATCACAGTCCATTTTGAATAGACAACTTTTTAGGCTCAACTCTAAAAAGATACAGATATCTCTATCAGTCCTTGATTTATGACCAAAGTTATTTTTTTAATCCATAATACATTTTTATAAGGTTATAAGGTAATGTAAAATGTGAAATACAAAAGTAAATAAAAGAGCAGTGAGAGGGGAAGGGAAAAGGGAGAGAGAAGTAAGGAAAAGGAAAAGAAACATTGAATTCTGAATCTCTCTGACTTTGCCTTCCGATCATTCAAAGTTATGATGGACCCCTCAAATGGTACTTGTGGCCAGTTTCCGAAGTTCCAACATCTGACACACACACACACACACAGATCCCATACGACCACAATTCAGGGCACCAAGCCACTGCCCTGTATTTACGGTGCCTTCCAGTGTAGGGCAAAAATGCCTCCTAGCAACAATGGGTTTACTTAAACGACTGCAAAGTGGGAGCTTTACTTTTGAATCCCGAATACGTTCCGCAGCGCTTGTCGACAAATTATTCTCACTATGAGCCCGACTCAGGTTGGCGCTGGAATTCGAACCCGAGTTCCCAATGCTTGAACTGCTGCTGCTAGCCGAGCTGACCATACTGGCGCTGCTGCTGCTGGCGCTGACGCCGCTCACACCGCTGGCACTGCCCCCACTGTAGCTGCTCCGCTTCCAGGTCTCCCTGGCAGACCGCTGCCGAGGGCCGTGCTCCTTAATGTAATTTCTGACCTAAAGGGACAGGTAAGTGGCAACGGGTTAGGAACTGCGATAGACCACCACCACCACCATTCCACTATTACAGCAACAATTTCTATGCAGAACTGTCTTTTAAAGGTGTTCCACACCATCAGAAGGTCACTTCCAGCCCTGACTAGCAACTCTAGGGCATCTTTTATGAGTCCGATGATATTTGGGGATCCCAAATGCTTTAAAACCTTGTGTTGTGAGATCCTTGGATGATTTCAGAGTGTGAAGTTCTGATTGGTGATAGTTATAACTAAGAGCAACATCAAAATGATTTCCTTTGTCCCTGTATATCAGGGGTAGTCAACCTTTTTATACCTACCGCCCACTTTTGTATCTCTGTTAGGAGTAAAATTTTCTAACCGCCCACCGGTTCCACAGTAATGGTGATCCCTACTGCCCAACATGAAAGCTGGAACGCCCACTAGTGGGCGGTTGGGACAAGGTTGACTACCACTGCTGTATATGTTACTGAAATGAAGGTTAAAAGTAGAGAATATCCTGCAATAGCAATAGCACTTAGACTTTTATATAGTGCTTCACAGTGCTTTACATCTCTAAGTGGTTTACAGAGTCAGCCTCTTGCCCTCAATTATCTGAGTCCTCATTTTATCCGCTTCGGAAGGATGGGAAGGCTGAGTCAACCTTGAGCTGGTGAGAATCGAACTCCTCGCAGTCAGTAGAATCAGCCTGCAATTCTGCCTTTCAATCCGCTGTGCCACCGTGGCTCTCAGCAATGGATCTTTTCACAAATCTCTGTGTGCAACCATTCAATTTTGGAACTCAAAATCAACCCCTAGCTGTTGATTTTTCTATTTTTATATGTGGGTACATTTGTACCAAGTTCCGCTTCAGGAATCTCACAGATCTAGTAAAGTTGCCCTTGAAGTGCATCCGGCGACTACAGTTATTCCAGAATGCAGCCGCGCGAGTGATAGTGGGCGCACCGCGGTTCGCCC